GCAGGCGCTCAACCATGTCCTCCTCACCACGTGCTATTCCTCCACGGATCAAGCGCAGAGCCGGCAGAAGAAGTTGGTGGTTCTTCTCAGATAACTCGCAGGCCTCTTCAATTGCGTCCTTCACTTTGTCCAAAGTGTTCGCTGGAGCGCAAACGAACAAATTAATATCATTTGTCTCCCATAAGGAACGGGTGAACATAACGGGAAGCTCGGCGCAAGCGGCTTACCCTTCCCTTCAATGATACGGGAAACGAGACTTACGAGATGCGATGAGGCGTCCTGTCTCAGCAACTAACCCACAAATTTGTGCGTGGATGAAGGGTTTGTCATCACTGTCAATCCCCGAATGGGCATCCAGCAGAAGTTGGAGGTACTCTTGTAATCCGGACGCATTCGCAACTTTCCGAGTCAAACGAAGAGCAGAACTACTCGCCTCTTCCTGAAAATACACACACCAAAGGAATACACAATCTATGCGCTCAGCCATCCAAATATGCAGGATCTCCAAAGCCCCCTTCAAGCATCCTGACTCCGACCATTCCGGCAGGCAGGTATGGGTAGGCTTATGCAGTGACTGTATGTCTTACTAGCACGCTGTCGGCCTTTTTCCCTCTGCCACCACTATCAAGAATTGCCTCTAAGGCGGATGTGACATCCTTCCAGTCCTCGTCAGAACCGGTTACGGCTGCGTACGCATACGCGTCCATGTACCCCAGTAAGGCTTGGCGTTTCCAAAGACTGACATCCTCATCGGAAACGAACTGCTGGATGGCGTCGCGGACTGTATTCCAGAGCGTTAGAGGCGCCGTGTTATCCCGCATCTCCCACTCAGGCGTTGTATACACTGTCCACTTATCTCCGTGCGATGGTGGGACAAACAGCCGTTGTAAAAGCATGAGAGTCTTTGTCTGAACGCGCAGCACCCATGACCAGCACCGCGCGTACTTACGCCTTCCAGCGAAGTGGAAGTGGAACTCTTAACCCTGAACCCTAATTGACCCAATTCCGCTCCCCGAGCTGAAACCTAAAGCTTAACCACTGGCTCAAGTTATCTCCATATCACGCCACCTAGGCAGTCCGTATCCACTG